TGCGACAGGGGGACCGTTGCTGAGAGAGTTGCGGCGGCCTCATCAGCCCAGTCACTGTGTCGTTGCGTTGTGCAGTTTTGTCGGTGGGAAGTTTACATTTGTTATGAGCCAGGCCTGAAACACAAGTCGGGAAGTTAGGCACAGAGCTGGACGACACCGCTATTAATGACGCTATGGGTTTCGCAAAAGCGCAGGCAGTCTCGTTACCAGCCGGAGCATTGCAAAGTTCCCTGTCCAGGCCTTTTGCACGCTGCTGTTTGTGCGGTGATGGGCTTTCGGTCGTTTCTGGATGGCCATGTTGCAGGAAAACTCCTTTGACTCTTCCAGCACATGCGTGTGCTTGGTTTCTGTCTTAGTTCCGATTGTGCTGAACACGGTCTGAATGATGACACGTCGTTGTAAGGTGGCCGCGTTTGTCGGAGCTGCTCTGCTGGCGAGGTGCTTCCTAACACCTGAAACCCGTGGACAAAGCCAAACAGTGGTTTAAACACTGATGACGGAGCTTTGCACTTGTTGGGATGGCTTTTGAAGATCGGGTCTGCGTGCTAGCTAGCTAGAACACAGCGAAATGGCTCTTTGAAGGTTCGAAGAAATGTCTGCAAACTCGGAGGGATAAATGCAGGTCTAGGACCAGGGACCATTAGTGCAGTTGAAGGTTAAACGGGTGTGAGGACGATACAGCAATGCCCATTGATGCTTATGACACAAATGCCATGTACGTTCATGTTGACGTGCAAGCTGCTGATGATGCGAAGGCTGGTAATGGTGGGGTGGTTGTTGTTGGTGGCGGCGGCTGCGGTGGTGGTGGTTGTCGTTGATGGTGTTGACGATGATGATGATGATGAAGATTCCAGAGAAGAAGATAGTGGCAGTGGCAAGAACGATGATGATGGTGATGATGATGATGAGGAGGAGAGTGATACAGCGATGATGATGCTGATGTGGATGACGATGGCTGTAATGATGATGAACATGATATTGGCGACGATGGTGATGGTCAGGATATGGATTGTAATGATGATGCTGGAACTGATGTTTATAGTAGCGGTGTTGAAAGTAGACGGAGTAGCTGAAACTCGTATTAGCTAGCAGAATATGATGACGTAAAGTCATTCGTGTGGTGTTGCTGACGGTGATCACGGCGACGTCGATGATTATGTTGATGATGATGGCGATGAAGAAGCTGTGGTGCTGAATCTTCGTGCTGCGGCTGCTGAGCCACGGCAGCTGCTGCGGCTTTCGGCTGCCGTGGCCAATGAGCAGCTGCGGTTGCCGGCCGGATCCATGTGGCAAGACGTGGACCGTGTCGTGTGAAATATCCCTGTGGTGGAGACCACAGGCTCTAATTCTCGTTGTGCCCATCTCATTATGTGGGCATCAGGCGTTTCTCGCTGTCGCGACCACGTGGTGTCAGAGCGCACACCTCGGAGAAACCTTTTGATCTTGAGTCGTTTGTTGTTTGCATTTGCTTCTCGCGCACGCGTGCGTGTGGGTGTCCCTTCGTCGTGAGGCATTCTGGAGTGGGAGCCAGCATCTCTCCAGGCAAATTAACCTGCAAGCACAGAGCACGGAGAGAAGCGGTGACGGCTTTCATCGTGGATGGTTCTCAATTCTACAGGCCTACAATACACTATATGACAAGCCCTGGCCAGGTCGGCTACATGTCTCCATGCCCGCAAGAGAAAGAGGCATGCTGCACCTTCCTGGCCCTGCAGTTGGTATTGAAATCAGAGTCGAACAAAGCTCGCGGGGGGTTGATGCTGATGAAGAGCGAAGGCTTGTACAGATGAAGTGCTCAGGACCAGTGGCCAGCATTCCACGCAGAGCAGTCAGTATGTGGTTCTCGAAAGGCATCCGTTTTGGTATAATGAAGATCTTTCGAAGGCCCCGCGCCTGGCCCTGAGTCCTGCGAGTCCTGCGTTGGGGGTTTGGCTCCTTCGATCAGCTGCAGTTGCACAGAAGCCTCAGGCTGGCTGCCCGGCTGGAAAGGCCGAATTCAGTTTCTTCGCGTGAGAACGGTGAGTCCAACCACCCAACAAATGCGTATACGCTACCCGACGCTTGTTGACAGAGCCGCGAAAAGTTCTCGCAATGTGTCCCACCTGCCCAGAAGAGAAGCTCAAACAGACGGATGATGACGAAGATGAGGAAGAAGAGAAAGGTGCGCAGTGCTGGCTTCGCCGTGTGAGAGTGATTTCCGGTGTGCTGCCCGTGCCAGAAGACGCCTTCCCAGAGGGTAGAAATCCAACCGAGTCTCTGCCAAAATTCATGACGTACGAGTTTTGGAAGACCCGACCTCAGCATCTGAAGAGCCGAGCCGTGCCGAGTTGTTCAGTGCGCACATTCACATGTTTCAGGAAGATGCCCGGAGGCTTGCGATGTCGCAGCTGGAGCCCCGGACTGCTCAGAGTGCAGCGGAGCCTGCACGAGTTGTTACTTGAAGGCCCGCGATATTGGAAAATGTACTTCAATGAAGATGGCACTGCTCCGAAGTACGATAGATTCAAGTCACCTGTCCGCAAGTAACATTGGCTTTGCTTGAACAGCCCACATGGCCATGCGGCCTTGCTGTTGGGGACGCTTCAGGTACTACTCCCTGGCAGAGGTGCGGGGCGGAGCTGCGAGAGCTAAGTGGCTTCAGCGCTCCGCCGTTTTGCAGGCCATTGACATCATTTTCAGCTTCTACGAGTCGGCACCCAACGATGCCCACGATTCATCTCTGGAGTTGCTGCCTTGGCATTGCGGCATTGCAGCATTGCAGCACAACGTTCATATGAACATAGGTGGCTGCCGGGCTCGTTCCCAGAACTAGACGCTTGTTTTGGTACTTGTGGCCACATGCCCTTCCCCAGGATTGCCATGTTTATGGCATTAGATGCCAAGTACCCCGACCAGCAGATCCGGCCGTTCTCCGAGAATCGCCTTTGCCAAGTGGAGTTTGTTGCTTGTGGGCTGGCGATCGAGGATGAAGGTGAAGCTCCCCAACGGGGCTGGCAAGCAAAAGCGAGTTGCCGTCTTCTGCCCTCCCGCTGAAGAGGAGGAGGCCGCAGGGCCTCACAAAACCTCGCGGGGCCGCGCCCCGACGAGTTGTCGTCCGCGGCGTTGCGTTGCGTAGCCCTTCACAGGCTTTGGAGTCGGGCGCCACCATTGCCGGCAAGGCCTTCGGGGCTGCTGGCCTGGGACGAGTACGAGTGCAGACTAAAACTTCGTTTGCGCGGAGCTGTGAGAGCAATTGCATGGCCAGACCCTCCAAGACGAGCTTATCGCTGAAGAGTTCAACTTCGACGTGCACATGACGCGGAGTTTGTCAGTTTCATGTCAGACTATGTGCACCTGGGCAGACTGCATTGATGGAGGTACTGATCGCAAAACCAGCTATGATGCCAGCGCTGGCAAAGCTGGGAAAAATCCTGGGACCCAGGCTGCCAGTCAGCTTCTGTGAACCCGCGAATCCATGAGCACTCTGCATGCTGGTGAGGAAGCTGATGCCTTCACCGAAGTCTGGAACCCTCGTCAGAAGCACGGTTAGGTGCAGAGACGGTGCACCCGCTTTGCCTCGGTTGGACAAGGTCACAGATATCAAAGCAGGTATCGAAGCATGGGCTTCCGGAGGCTGGCGCGCGATTGTACTGAGGCTTCCTGCTCCCAATGAGTGAAAGGTACGGTGGAGTTGAGAAACAATGACAATATGTACGCCACAGCCTTACACACAAAGCTCGCATCTTTGCGTGCAGATGACATGCCGCTTCCTCAGATCGGCTGCCCCTTCGCCAAGATTTCACAGGGGAAGGAGAAGTGCCGGCCTAAGCACTTTCGGAGGCCAGGTAGGGAAGAAGGCTTATTCCGTTGCCTGGTCAAGATGGAACTTCCTCTTGCAGCCCTCTTGCATTGGTACCCGTAGTCACAACAGTGAAGGCAAGACATTTTGACACAATGAGCACGAACATGACTGCGCTTGAACCGAGCAGCCACGTGTACTGCTCTATTGGCTCCATCGCGCCCGAGCACTTGCAGTCACGCATGGACATGGACGGAAGTGTGCATTCAGGTGCTTGGAGAATTTGCGGGGCCTCCTTCAGCAGCTTGCTGACAATGCCCCACCAGGTGCCAAAAAACGAGAGGCTTGGCCAATCAGTGGTGTTCGTTCAGCACCATCGCGAGTGTAATTGGCATGCCGGTTTGAGTGTCCGTACCAGGCGTACTTCGCAAGGATGTTCGTGAAGGGCGACGACTCACCTTCGGTCAGGACTGGTCCCAACTTGTGTACGTCGTGCGGTGCTCCGGGTACTGACTCCTCTTGCCTTGTGCATCCTGCCGTTTCGAGTATACTTGAAACGCGAGGATCGACCCCAAAGAGTTCCCAGACCATGGCCTGCACACCTATTGGGACATCAGTTGAATCGCTCTATGAAGCAGACGAAAGCGATTATGGCCAAGGTTATGAGAAGCCCGTGACCGGAACAACGTACTTCGCACAACAGGCCGCATGTTTTTCGTGTGAGTTTTCTGACCGCGGCTGCGTCCTGGCCAGGTTCTCGCAGGCTGAGCATTGAAGGCCGTTGGCAGACTAGGACGCATGAATTCTACAGGTGCAACTGGGTGGTGAATAGCACACGCAGCAAAACGCAGACTACATAAAAGTTCCTTGTTCGGTTCACCGAATTTCTCGGAGCTGCGAAGTTGACATCTCGAAAAAGTCGCGCCTGTATAGTGTGAACGATGAGATGTGCGGTCGACAGATCAGGACGGTTTTGCCGCAGATGCCAAGCCTGAGCTAATTGCGGGTGTCTACGCTTGAAGCAGTCCAGGGACGATTGTCTTGCGTGGGGATTGCGCAGCAGTGAAGCACAGTGACCGAGCCATCCATGCTGACATTCTTGACCTGACTTGCTTGCGGGAGTGTGACAAAGTTTGTTCAATCAATCGAAGCAGTTCTGTGCACTCTTGTATATGTAAGCGTTCTACACGAGACCCTGGCATCTCAGCCGCGGCTCCTGGCCATGGACTTGGATCCTATCCTGACCCATGCGGAAAGCGGTGATCTGGATGCTGTGAAAGCAATCTTGGCAGATAGCGATAGCGTCAACAAGCGGTTGAAGCTAAGAGATGCAGACAAAAGGACTGCTTCGACGCATCAGCAGCATAGTTGGCAGAGCTGAAACCACAGTTTTGCTACTCGAAGCCGGTGTCCCCCGTCCGTAGTAGCAGACAGGACTGCATTGCACCGAGCATGCGCTGCGGGGCACGAGCAGATCGTCGCGCATCTCCTCAGCCATCGTGCCAACCCCAATGTGGAAGATGAGGAGGACACGATGGTAAATCAAACGGGGCTGAGGGTGGGAAACCATCTTTATGTCTGACCTGTTCTGTGATGCTTTGCTTCGGCTCAGGAATGGACGCCACTACACTCTGCTGCCAGCCGCGGCTCGGCGTCCTTGGCCACTCTGCTGACCGAAGCCGGTGCAGATTGCGATGCTACAACGTCTTCGGGTAGCAGCGCCCTGCATTATGCCGCCTCGAAGGGGCACGATGAGGTGATCCGGGTTCTTATTGAGGCAGGTGCCAAGGTGAACGCCAAGGACCGAAGCGGTGGCTTTCCGCTTCTGAGAGCGGCAGGCGCCGGTAGACTCACAGCTCTGAAGCTTCTGCTCGAGGCCCAGGCAGATCTGAGATCCAAAGACAAGTCGGGAGACAACGCGTTCCATGTGGCCATCAATGGCCATCATACCGCGATTTGCGAGATACTCTTTGACCGGGACGAAGCGGAGAAGCTGATGAAACAAGAGAACGAAGATGGAAAAACAGCAGCCCAAATGCTTCTGGACCTTGCTCCGGCTGAGACTCGAGACAAGATCAAGTCGATATGGAGAGAGAAGAAAGGTGGTTAGACCTTTGCGCGTCTGCGGCAAAGAAAGCTGCTTGGAGAAAAGGGCCACGGCGGGTAGGCATTGCAGCCGGCATGACGTGCATCTCCAACCACCTGTACCCCCTTGAATGTCGAGCTCGTGTTGTCAGTGGTCAGACTACATTGCTTTCAAGGCGCACGAATCTGACATGTAAAACCGGATTGGGTTTGGGACGGCTTGAAAGCTCATGTGTGCGCACATGGACACTCCATGCATTGCGGGAAGATATTGTTCATATCCGGCAAGCACTTTGATGGGCTTGGCATTGCTGAGCTTCTGCAGGCCTTTACGGAATTCGACGATATGGACCGCTTGAAATCTAGAAGGGCCTGCGTCTCGCTTGAAGGCTTTGGATCGCCGAGGCCGCGATTGTGTCGCCCAGGTGGCGGCTGGTGACATGGCCGCAGCCGTTTGCAGTTCTACAGAGTCCAGGGACAAGACGTCGGTGGGTGGGGAAGCGGAGGTGGGATTGGATGCAGTGGACTCGTGGGTCCAGCTCTCAGGTTTGGGCTGAGTGCTCGCCCTGCTGAGTATCTCCCCGAGGTCGTGCAGGACATTGGATTCTACTCTGATGCGGCCTGTGTGACGCGCATCGAGGCTCCAACTTTTTCTGGCTGTTGGCACCATGGACCTGTTCCTTTTCGTATGCCGTATGCAGGTGTGGTTGCTTTGTTTTCCTCCCGGCTTCAAGCCTCGCTTGAACGTTGCTATCCGCCACTTTTCGTGAATTCGATCCCACGGGCTGCAACCTTCAGTCGCCGTCTCGTCTTCACCGGACGTTTTCAGAAGCCCATCATGTTTTGCGTGTGGCTCCTGCTGAACTGTTCCTGGAGTCATGTCAGCCCAGAGTGGCATCTGAACAGCATTGGTTTTTGGAACGTGCACTTGGGGCTTCCTGTGATGCTTATCGATTCGTTCTGTTGTTGGTGCTCGTCGTGACGCCCGTTCTGGTCCTCCTCGTCGCATATGTCACTGTTTACACCAGAAGCACACGCAGAGGTTCCAGTGGTGTGTGTGTGTGTGTGTGGTCAGCAATGCGTTCGCTCACCTTTGCCAAAAATCGAATGTCGAGAGAACTTTGGAAGGTAGGGTAGGCGGGTAGGCCGAACTGTCCTCGGACGTGTGTTGCACACTAGTGATCCGAGAGGCGAGACCATTCCGAAGTCTTCAAGGCAGGTTGTGAACGCATGATCGGTGATAAATAAAGCATAAGCTGCACCGGAAACTTGTTACACAGGCAACGGCTTGCGATATGATGGCAGCGCTTTCTCTTCGTGCCGAGCCAAGAAATAACGTGCGTGGTTTGAGAGTTGAACCTGGGTGGGCCGATAAATCATAATACTGATGTATGGGATTGCTTGAGGGAGACACCGATGAGCGCATGACACGCCAGCACCTATACACGAGCTTTTGGCCTGCGGAGGCCGCAGTACGTCCGACCGATTGGCCTTCCTGCAGATGCTTTTGAGGCAGCTGTTCTTGAAGACCGATCTTGCATGTTCATTTCTTGCACTGTAGTGACTGCAGTAGAGTTGCCTAGTAGTGGCCGGCGCAGGTAAACAGTGGACCTTGGGAAACTGGCGTGCCGTGCCCTTCCTCAGGCCGTGGCACGTGGACAAAATGGGAGTTGCGCATGAATTTGTCCTGCTAGGCGACACCTGCCAGATTGGTTTCCACTGGCTGACCGATCAGGCTCCTCGAAGTAGTGCGGGATGGGATTGACGATGTGTCGAGCTCTGTAGTCTTAGGTAGACGTGCCCAGCGGTGGTTTTGCCACAACCGGCCTCATGCACAGCTTCTTTGCTCCGCGTGCGGCGATCTGTGTCGAGTCCAAGGTCGGCTGGCGATCGGCTCGGCGGAACCTCGCTGCATCCGGCTGGACCAGAGCACAGAGGCAAATGGGAACTTTTCCCCCCTTCTGCTCTCCTGCTTCAGCTCTCATCTCTGCTTCAGCTTCGTGCTCGCTAGCCGCTAGCAGCCGCTAGCACCGCCGGCATCCGGCACTTCCAAGGCGACCAAGCATGCAACCAACGTTCTGGTGCAGTACTGGTCATCTTCCGCGAGAAGCTGGCGGTGGCCTCGTTTGAAGGGAAAGGTCAACCAAGAGCGAAGACTTATAGATACAAGTGGGCGGCACTTCGTCCTTCGTCACCGTTGATCTTGGATTTTCAATTTCAGTGAATCGTCAGTTGCCTCGTCGCGTTTTGCAATTCCCGTCTGTTTGCTGTTCACTTGCGCAGTATTTCGCCCATACCCCACCCAGTCCAATTTGAGGCACCATCCGCGATGCATTTCCGAGTTCCGTGCAACTTCATTGTCTTTGCGACCTATCCCCGCCTATTCCTTTACCCTTGTTAGCATATTTCGCCGTTTTTCGGTGGAGGAATTGCGACTTTGCATCTTTTGATGAGGTACTGGTCCCGCTCCTGTCGGGGATGGGGCCAGGGTCTTTGCTACGCAGCCACGCCTCTCGCTTGCGGCTTTGCAGGACCCCGTCCCACTCGAAGGCCCGAGCTGGATGTGTTGGGCCCACAAGCGGTAAACACGCTCTTCCTTGCCAGAGGGGAGGTGTAGGGACGTGAGAGCCGCTGGACATGGCCTCCGTCCGGTGTTCTCGAGGGGGCACGACCTCTGCAATGTGCGGGCGTGCGGTCTCAATGTTGGGGGTGATGATTCGACTGTCTTTCATTTACGGCTGTATTTTGCAGGGCAGAGGTTTGTACTGCAGATGCAACCTGCTGGGTGGAAACACGGTCTTCCTGGGGGTTTGATGCAAAGAACCTATCCTCTCGAAAAGCAGGCGGGTGCGTGTTAGCCAGCGCTGAGAGTGCTGACGGCGACTGCCAACCTGCCCTTCGGGGCAGGGCAGGGTCAGCGCGCTTGCGTATGAGTTCAAGGAGCGAGTGAATGAGTGACTGAGTGAGTGAGTGAGAGAGGGAGTGGGCGAGTGAGCGAGGTGGGCAATCAGCGACTTGTCACCACTCGTCAGCCGCCTCGTCGTGGTCGTCACTACCATCAAAAAACGTCTCGGCGTCTGTATTCTTTGTTATGCAGATTGAGCACTCGACAACAGTAGGATGAGTCTATGCTGCCTTCCATCGTAATAAAATGCAACCAAACTGGCAGGTATTGACAACGGGAAATGAATTTGCCACATCTGGTTTCAAGGTTTAATGTCTGGCATCGAATATCATCTAGGGTTCACGATTCGTCACCATTCATTCTTAGGGTTTAGCGTTGGCCAATGGTGTTTGCGCCTACGGTTTGCAGTCCATCATTCATACGGGTTCTAGGGCTGATCATGGTTTGCCACGCAGCGTTTTCTTCGCAGCATCTAGGGTTTGCCCGCCATCATCCGTTGTAGTGATAGTAGTGTCCAAGACATATCCATGGTCTTAATCTGTGATTGTTGCATTGATGCTCGTTGTTGAAACATCGAGGTCATTCTCGGAGCTTGCGCCACGTCTGTTCACTCTTGTCATTGATCTTTCTATCCATAATCATTCCTTGTCGGATCGCAATTCAATCGCTGCGGGTCTCGTAACAGCGTCTGCCCCTTGTAACAGGACCCTGGGCCTTGGGCTTCGACGCGTCAGGGCCTAGCGTTGGATAGGGTTTAGGGTTGTGGTTTAGGGTTTAGAGGTTTGTGGAGGTTTAGGGTTTGTCGGGTTTAGGGGTTTCAGGACCTCACCTTGGTGACACTCACAAACACACGGATGAAAGTCTCTGCAATCAGTTCATATCAATTCAATCTTTCATGCATCATTTTGAACCTACGAGACTACAACAAGTGCAAACACTGTTACGACTGTCAGTCTGCCTGCCTGTCTGCCAGCTTTTGCCTTGCATGTGAGACACACGAAGATTTGGTAGTGTGTACCCGCTGAGTACTATGTATCAGCACGCGTATCTCTGTGTGTGTGTGGGTGTGCGTGTCCCAATGCATCGATAACTTCATCTATTCCTATCTTCTTCAGGCCTGCCCGTCGGGGACCGGCGTTGGCTACAAAGCCTCCTGCCCACGCCCGATGGCAATTCCTGTTTCGTTCACTGGTCGCCTGTTTGCTGTTCCCGCGGCCGCACGGTTCTGTTAATGTGTGCGAGATCGGTTTCCGTCACTCCCCAAAACGGTTTCCAAAAACTCCCCGCCCCAAACCCATCGTCAGGAAAGTAAAAGCTCAGAGGTCTTGCTGGCTTCGACATGCAGTTTCGAAGTTCAGACGCGTTCGCGAAAGCCACTGTATTCAAGCTTGACCTTGTGAACACATGGGGCCACCATGAACGTAGCAGTCCCATCACCGGCGACCTGCGAGCTTCCTTTGCCACTCCTCCTAGGCAGGACCACACTCTCTTCACCTCCCTCAGCGGAGGATCTGAAACTCTTCGACTGCCGGAGGCTCTGTGCCGAGTCTGCTGTGAAGGGGAGTCCGGCTTAAGGCGAGCTGCCGCAGCTTGCGTTTACAGGGCTAGGGCGGCCAGGGCGGCTAGGGCTGGGAAGTGTCTGTGAGCAGATCCGTTGTTGCTGTCACCGGCATTGCCAGGTTCCGGTGAGGTGAGTTGATCCTACCGAGTCACTGCCTGGTCCGTGGTGCTTCTTCGAGCCAGAAGGAGTGGGGTGCCAGCATGGGCTACCGTTGCTGTTCCACCTAAGTGTGACTGAGGAGCCAATAGTATTTTAGTGGAAGATTTTTCTCGCATCGTGTTCATCACTTCCATCGCACCTCTGGGCTCAAAGGGACAAATGGGGGATCCGGGCGGCGGGCAGCGCAGGCCCATGCAAGCCTGCCTCTCGTGAGGGTGCGCAGTTAAGGATTGAGCCTTCTCGGCAAGTCGGCTTCTGAGGTCGGTGGTCTGTGCGGCCTCCAGCTTGCATCAAATGTGTGCTGCCGCCTCAGCTTCGCAGCAGAATTGAGCGCGGAGGTTCGTGAGTTGATGGCAGGATGACGGCAGCTGTAGAGCCGGTGAAGCAACCATGCTTCCTGACGAGGCCATCACGTAGAAGGGTGGGATGACAGCTGGCTTGGCAAAATCCAGGCTGACAAGCACATCAACCTGAACGTCGGCATGAAGATGGCGAGTAGATACATTGCAGATCAGGCCGGGGGCTGGGTGAGGGGGATCTCTTGCGGCTTCCCTGTTTCGCAGATGCTGGAGCAGCGGCATCTCAAAGTCCTGCACAAGACGCTATCTACCGCCTGGAACAGGCTTCCCCACTGAAACACGAAAGCTTCTGCTTCTCTCCTCGTGACCGTGTGATCTGGAGGACCGGCCAGGTCCAGTCGCTGTCTGCAGCTATCGCCCTGATGGAGCAGTCGATCGCCTCAGAGCGGCCATGCACGGCTGAAATTCTCTTGGGCTCCATCGTCATGTGCATTGCGATATTTTTTCAGAGACCTGTGCTCGTTTCGCATTCGGAGCCCAGAGTGAGATGCCAAGCGAGGTACGGCGTGGAGCTGACTGACGAAGAGGTTTGGGAGCTGACATTCTGTTTCGGTGTTCCTGCAGCCGAGTCCCAGAGAAGCCCAGTTTAGTTGAAGAGCGCAAAGTAGCAAACCAGATCTTCCGAAAATCCAGCACCTAATTCGCAGGTACAGCGGATAGCTTCCATGGAGCAGGAGCAGCAAATAGCAGCCTTGGTGCTTGCCTCAAATTCTGCGACCTTAGCGCTCCGCACTCTGCACACCAGAGGCAGGGGCTGTGCAGCTCAGTAAATCGCCGCAGAGGAACCTCTGACCATGTGGACCATTGTGGAACCCTTAGGTGAACAAGATGCCGCAAGAGTCCAACGAGCAGTTCCAGCAGTTTTTCCTCCAGCTTCAGGCTCGTCACCGCCAACAAGCGTCAATGTACCGCAAGTATTGCACGCCATTGTAGCACCTTTCATATACTGTTCTGCGGTGAGAATGCTGTGCAGTGCTTGTCAGCTCTTGGTCTCCACGGCCATGCGGGTCCGAAATGGGCTGGAGGATGGTGCGCCAGAGAAGGCTGCGGTCTCTTCAGTTCGCCTCGGACAGCACATGCGACTCATGAGACCTGCTGAGGTTGCCAGCGCCTTGGATGACGCCGACAGCACTGGAGTGACCCAGCACATCCTCAGGACTGAACCAGCCCCACCCAGACCAAGCCACACCTGACATCTCGCTTGGAGCTTGGCAGGATGGCCGTGGTCCAGGCTGGCAGCGAGGCAGCTGAAATCCTGTCACAGGCGCAGCAGCCGCCCGTACTGATTTTGTCTGCAGGCGTCGATGCAGATGCTGGAGTACGAGGCGATGCGACAGCCGACGGCCTCGTTGCTGTGACCTGCGTTGCACATTGGCTTCGCAGGCGTGGGTCCGAGAGGCCGATGAGCAGATGGCCCGGCTGATTCGGGGCCAGGCCAGGATGCCAGGATGCCAGGATGCCTTGCCTCGGAGCTTCTCTCGAAGATCACCGTCGTGAGCTTTACAGGAAGATGCCATGGCTGCCAGGAAGAAGCTGGCTACGCTGCAGGCGGACAAAAACTAATCGGGCGCAGCTACTAGGGCAGGCAGCTTACAATCTCGTGGCAGGCGCAGCTCCAGCATCAGCGAGACGAGCACAAGGAGAAGTCCAGCAAGGTGCTGCAAGTTGACAAGCCAGCGCAGGTGCTTCGCCAAGTCTCTCTTTCTCTCTCTCTAAAGGTCTGCATGAACTTCGTGTCTGGGATGACTCAGCAAACGAAGCTAGCATGTGAGCGACCCGGATGTTGGCTTGGATGTGCATGCCATCCTCTGCCAAGAGAAGTGCTTCCAGAAAGTCGCATCATTTGACGCTTCGGCATGGAGAACTCCTTGTCGGACGTCTGAAGTGCCGAGGCTTCCAAGGCTGGCTGTCTTGCGCGAGACGAGCGAAACAGGCTGCTGAGCTTTGCGTGAATGCAGTGTTACTGCGTATTTGTTTGTTTTGATACCACGGGCCTGTGTTGGTTTAGACGCTAGCTGAATCCTGATGTTGACTTCAGGAGGGCTCCATTGCCAGAGAGTTCGAGGAGAACCGCACTGGCTCGTGCCGGTATTGGGAAATTCAACTCGCCACCGGCGTCGTCGGCATTACAGGTTGTGTCATGTTTGAATGTGTTGTAGAGGAGCAGCTGGATGGCATTCAGCGGCGGCTCGTCGACTACAGGCGAGGCAGTGCGTTCGGGCAACGCGCTTGCCTGCCGCCCTGTGCGTTGCAGCTTCGGAGGCAGTCCTCCCTGGCCAACGTTCGCAGCTACCTCGCCAAGAAGGCTTCGAAGTCGAAGCGATGGCTTCTCAAGGAAGTCCGGAAACGCCCGGAGGCTGCCGTTAAGGAGGTCGACTTGACTGCAGAGGTGCTGAACCTTTGGCTTTGACCTCGGAACGACATGCCTTGGAGGATGTCTGTAAGCCAAACAAATCATGATTGAGTCAGGTACACAGTCGTCGCCGATCAAAAAGAGACCGACGCATTGGCTGGCCAGGCAATCTGTTGTGACTCTTTGACATGCCGGAAGTGACAAGTGACATGTCTTCAGGGTCGTTTTTGCATCAGGTGGACGAGCTTAGTAGCAAGCTCGCCTCCACTCAAGGCGCTCAGAAGGAGACCACGAAGAGGGTAGCTTGGCTTGCAAGCTTGTTTGAGAGTCCTTCGGTGGTAGAACATTCACAAGGTCATGGAGCGCATGAGCGCCGCCCGGGATCGTTCACTGCTGGGACAGTGTGTGCAATGCCTCTTGGAGAGAGCAGCCAGAAACATGAGTTCACGCACTCTGTGCGCCGATTCTGAGGTTGGGTTGCAGAGGTGGAGGACAGCAAGAAGCAGGGCGCCGGTCCTTGCCTGTTTGTCCACGGCTCTCGAGTTATGTGCTCAAGCACTTTAAACCCGTGAAGCCACCTGACGCCAGATGATGCACGATGTCTTATCTGATGCCAAAGCCCGTTTGCAGTCCTTCCTGAAGGCCCGGTCTTCGCTAGGAAGTGGTGGGCAACAGTCACTGCCACTTCGCACTACTCTGTCCAGGGCAAATCGGAGTCCTCGATGAAGGCGTGCGGTACACATACAAAGGAACATGGTGCCTTGTGGGTTGCATCAGAACCTGAATGACTACAATTTATCCAGACGCAATCTCCTCCGCCGCCGCCAGGTTCTGAAAATGGCGCTTGGTGGCACCGACACTGGACTCTTGACCCAGGTGCGTTTGCTGCTCCCAGCTTCTGAAGCGGGGCTACACTGTGTAAGGGATGGTCTAAGCAATGCTCCATGCTCGGGGGATCACGTTGAAGAGGCTCTCGGCTGCTGGAAATCTCAAGTGCTTGATTTGAAAAAGGAAGCCACGTGCTTATTGTCTCCTGTCGGCTCCCGTAAAACTGTGTGCTTGAAGCGGGCTGAGGCAGAATTGGAAAGAATAGTGCAAGCGAATGCCAAGCAGATGGCTGTATCTCGCCGGCATGTTGCGTTTGATCATCAATGCCTGAAGGGTCACGTCTGTGTTGAAACTCTTACGCCTTGTGCCTTTCAGGACTATGGCGACAAGAGGACGTCAGTGTCATGAGCGGGTTTTGTGTTTTCCGTGCTCCGGACAGCTCATGGGCATGTGTTTGTGAAGGAAAGCCGTGGCAAAGGCTGCCATGGAGAGAGTCCAATAGTGCCCCAGCATTCGTTTGTTCCGCCGGAGTTTGCACACTTGAATCTCCGAGGAGTTGGCTGAGACTAGCTTGCTGCACTGCGGGGCATCTGCAATGAAGCTGCATGTGCTTGTCTGCAGTTACTCGGAGCAATCCCTCCTCATGGAGACATTCCACAACTGGAGGCAGAGCGAACAGCTCCGATTGGTTAGCTGTACGAAGCGAGAAGTGGCTGTTTTTTGGCAGGCTAGACACCAGGGTGGAGGTGACGCTCCAGAAGTGCGCTTTGCAAGATGATTGAACATGTTCTGGTTGGGCATACAGCCACGAAACTCTCGTAAGACCGAGTAGCTCAGTAAGATTGGAAGAGTGCTGGGGCTTCTCGCGGCGTCTGGACAACAGATTCGGTGAGTTTGGCCTGAGCACACATACGGGCTCCCAGCCGCGGCACGTTCAAGACAACCACTGTCCCCTGATGGTAGCTGCAACGCGGCAGCGACTTCTCAGCTTCCAGAGGAAGCCACCGCATTCAGTTCGTACAGAATGTGCAGCTATTCGTTAAGCTGCGACAGCATTCCCCAGCCCGTCTGTGGAGTGCTGGTATAATGTACCATCAGGTACCACATACGCATCGAAGCAAAGCGCCAACAGCTCGCCGGAGTGCATCAGGCACCCGTTGGCACCTGCGCAGCCTGAGATTCGTAAGTGCAGTCGTCGCAGATGTTCCGCACCTTCGCGCACCAGCTTGAGACAAGCCTGAAGAAGAGCTGCTGCCTTAAGCTTATGCCGCCGAGTGACCCGACCACGGCTGCAAACTCCCTAGGTGTGGACTCGGAGAGGGCGTCGACCCTGAGGAGGCAGTTCCCAAAGCATCTTTCACGTTATCTTGCTTTGAGGTAATAATACTACGAATAACAATAATAACAGTAGTAAAAATGATAACAACAATCATAGCTCAGGGCAGCTCTGTCGGATTTGCGCATGTGTTCTGTGCTCGTTCCCAGTGGCCAACACAGCATTCAGCATGCCTAAAGCATTGCTGATCCGCGTGTTGCAGGACGCGGACCCTCCACAAAGCAGACACCGGCACTGTTTCCCTCCCAGATATCCACAAGTTGGGCCCTCACTGGCAACGTCGTTATTTTGGCGAGCACAGACTCTGTTTGATCCTGAGGCCTGGCTCTCCTTCAGGAGATCCGATCAAGGCTGGCTGTGTCTCTGCGGCCTCTCAGGGCCCTCGTGCTGCTGACGGTTAGCCCTGAATGACTTAAGCAGAAAGGCTTTCTAAGTGGCCGCGATGACACAGGCAGAGGCGACACTGCCACGCACGGCCTGGGGATGAGGGGCTAGCGCTGAACCCGAGGCACCTCATGCGCTCCAGCCATAGACACCTGTTCGCTGTACACTTGGCTCAGGCGGCCTTCGCCGAATTGGTGGACAGCGATGATAGTTAGGCTTACTCCAGTCATGTGGTCTTGGCTACAGGGGCTGACAGCAACGTTTCATCAGCTTTCGGTTGCAGGGCTGGTTGTTCAGGGGTCTATCCATTCCGTCGACCTGAGGTCTGTATCAAGTGCATCAAAAGTACACGAACATCATGAAAAGTCTCACCACTTTCACGTCTCACTTTAAAGTAGAGGCAGTCTGATGAAGTGGAAATTTCATCATGTCTGACAGTGGATGGACGGCTGTTTGCTCCCCCGGTCGTGCTCAATGCTGCGCCGGCTTTCAAAAGAAACCTGCCAGCTGAGTGGCTGGGTGTGAACCATCAGTCTGCTTAGGGCCAAGTCTGTCTCACCGCTCTTCCTGAGCTTTCCCGGCTCACCGCAACCGTGACGCCGGGTTCCCAGAGCGTTGCGTGGTGTTTGTGTGTCTGTCTCTGTTTGTGCGTGTGTGTGTGATTGTGTGCGCATGTACGTCGAAGATGGCTTGATTGACCCCGAAAGCCCGAAAGCCCCGAAGAGCGCAACGAAGGCGATGGAGTCGCAGGCTCAGAGGTGCGAAAAGCGCGCAGAATGCCAGAGTCTTTTCTTGGCACCCATGGTCTCTGCACCTGTCGCTTATGCCGATGGACTGGAGGACTTCATGAGGTTATCAGGGCGGTGCTACTACGACGAGGAACTCACCTGGTGATCCAAACGGTGTGCCGCGGAGCAGGTGTCGCTCAGCAGATCGTTTGCGCGAGCGCTGCACCGAGCCACAGCTGCGAGACGGCTGTTCCCCACGCAGCGAGAAAAACAAGTGGCTTGCGGCAAGAGGGCCGTAGTACACAGAAGTGTTGCTTGTACAGCAACGTATGGCATGACAGCCCAGGTCTAGGTTCACAAATCTAGTATAGCCGTTGCGCAGTGTCGGCTTTGCAGGAGATCAGCAAAAGTTTGTCATTCTTCCGATGTTTCATCCGATGTTTCGGATCATTGCTGTTTGGCTTTGAAGAGAGTGAAGGTAGAGCTGCTAGGTTTTTCGAAGCCGGAGCTGCAGGCGCCTTTGCATGCTTTGTGTCCGTTCGCATGCTACAGCAGGGGAAAGCCGCAAGAAGAACAACCGTGTTGAAATGTAAGACATCCTAATGTTACCAAGGATTCAAGGAGGGCCTGCCTTGGTTTCTGAGCTTCTCACTTCAGCTTCTGGCTAAGGCGGCCATGTCGCCACAGGCTCTGTCGCCACAGCTGCACTCTCAGTGAAGGGTAAAAGGTGAAGTAGTTTGTGAAGCACTGTCGAGCCGAGGAGCACCGGCACAATGAAGAAGAGTTTCAGCAGTGGCACATTGCAGAAGTCTGGACAGGCAGCATGCCAGGTTGTCAGCACCTGCTGGCGTTTGGATTGCTCTGCTATCCCCTCTGCAGGCTACGATCACAAGCCCGATGGCAGCGGAGCACAGCTCAGTTTGTGGACGCATGCCTTCAGCTTGCTTTTGTCTGTGCAGACATCGCCGTCTGTCAGGACATAGAGATGCCGAAACTTCCAAAGTATCTCAATGTTACCAACCTGACGAAATTTAGGACGCGGGCATTTTGTGCTCATTCTGTCAGAGTGATTTCAACTCTTGTTTTTTCCAGCTTGGTCTCCTCAGCTCGTCAGGAAGCTGCCGAGCAGCACAGGCAACCTTCATGGTTGGCTGGCAGAGGCCAGCGGCTTCCTGGTCAGTCCTGTGCAGTTCGTCCGGTGCATGAGCTCCGAAACGTCGTGCCGGTCGATGTTGTGGCATAGTCAGCTTCGTGTATCGGTTGATGTCCTTGTGGGCACTCTTTCGCTCCATGGAGGACTACAGTCAGATCAACTGGCCACTGCCGAAGATGTTCGGCAAGGAGAAGTATGGATACAGAAGCTCGGCATTATTGAGTGCACAAGAGATATTGTCATTGTACTCTGTGCCCTTCAGTCTTGCAGTTGCAGCATGACGTGACTAGCTTGAAAATGCACAGGTATGATCGATATAGACGATCCTCGGTATATCAAGGAACGGCCGGCACACAATCAGTTGAAACGTGTAGTTGAGTTCATGGCGCAGGAGTGCGCCTTGATGTCTCAAAAGCTCATACGGTTGCACTATGATCAGCAGATCATTGACTACACGCCTTGTCCCCAGCTCTGTTGAACCCTGTTGCCAACACAGACGTCCACGTCAATTTGCGGCCAAGCAGCCGTCAAGTCATGAGACATGCACGAGGTGGAGAAACACGTATAAAGCCCTACTGACCGCAGAGCACCGCCAGGTTCGGACTGAAGCTGATGAGAGTGTGGTTGTCGTGTGCGGACTAAGCCCTTCGATCTTTCAGGCGACTTTGCCGAACAACTGTGCTCAGAAAACAAGGGACTTGATGAAAAAGGAGGCCGGCGAATTGATTTTGTTGGAGAGCGTACTGTGAGAAATCGGACCTGATGAAGGTGGATTCTTGCATGAAACAGTTGCTGGAACTACAACAGCAGAAGGACCTTGTCGTTGTTGTGAAACCACGACCTGCGAAGGTTGCCGTCTGCCTGTGACCATGTGCCGTAACGTGTCGCTAGTGAAGCTGGTGAGTACCCGGGAACAGTGTAGTTGCAGGACATGTACGAGCAGCAGATCAAAGAAATCTACGATAGATGCGATGCTATCAAGGCAACCATCAAGAAGGCCATACATGGAGCATGCCACTCGGACCAAGACACAGCGTGGCTTTGGATCAGGAGAACGACTTGGAAGATCTCCGGTTAACGATGGAGAAGCAGACCAAGGAGAAGCACGACTTTGTGGAACGTGAATCGCAGCCTGCAAGAACAGCTGCAGGGCTTCTTTGTCAGACCCAGTTGTCGCAGGAGAAGATCTCCAGTGACTCGCCTTTTTGGAAGGCCAAACAGCGTTCGCGAACGAGCGGGCGCAATGTGCTGCAGCATCGCTCCGGGCAGGCCAAGTTCAATATCCGCTCTGTGAATGCGCCGCCGAGGCTGGAGTGGAGACAATCATAAATCTTGAGGAATGTGCTTAGCATCAGTCCAACACTCCCTCCGAAATGTAATTAGTAGCCTGCCCGCGGCGGCGGAGAGCAGCGGGTGGTGTCGAACCGTAGGGAACTGGAGGGGGAAGAGTTGGATCCGATGGAGTCCTGTTTCCGAATAGCGGATCTCGTGCACTAGGTTTGCACTCTTGTAGGTCGTATTGCACTCTGGTTTGATTTGGGGCTGTGATCTCTGCATCCTGCCTAGACCATCGATTCTGGTCCGATTGCCTCTCCCGCTCAGGGGTTCTGGCGCTGGATCAATCGACTACTAGGCAGGGAGCTGAGATCCCTTTGCTCCAGCATTTTGAGGGCTTCTCCCCTCACCTTTTTTCGGTCTGTGATCCGGGACACCTGGACCTCCCAGCAAAGCAGGAGTTGGTGAAAGTGCCCGAAGTACCTGGTTGTTTCGTCGATAATGAATGTTAGCCTACCACATCTTCGTGGCGACTTTTGTTGAGCCTCTTTGTTGCAAGGCTGTTTGAAGGGTTGCAGGCAGAAAGACCGCCAGCATATTTCACCGCCACCAGCACCCGTGCACCTGCACCTGCACCCGCACGTGCACCAGCACCTGCACCAGCAGACATCCAGCAGACATGCTGGAGTCCAGGACTGCACGCAAGGCTACTACAGTTACTACAGTGTTGATCCAGGGGCTGCATCGAGATAATGCGCAATTAAAGTGGTCCAGTGGACCGGACACCAGCACCAGCAGTCGCTAGCACCAGCACCACCCCCACCGCCACCAAGGCCACCGCCACTGCCACCGCTACTGCCACAGCCACGTTAAATAAATCTAAACAAAGTTGCCAAGAAGTCCAGCTTGCAACTTCGGTTGTCAGGGTCACATGGAACCACCTTGATCGGGACGTATCATCTGCCGGATTTGCAGTCACATGCCTTGCCAAGGTGTGCAGCCTTGCCTTTGAGATGGGCTTGGCGGAGATAAATTCTGAAAGTCTCGAACAAAAACATCAATGTGTTCTCCGCCCGGCTGTTCACCTTGTTGCTTCGAGCGACCCTTTGCGTTTCACCGTTCCCAACACCACTGCCGAAGTTGCAAGTCTTGCAGCATCTTGCAGCCTTAGGCTTACGGTTCAGTGCGTTACCATGCTGCTAGCGTTAGGGATAACTTGTCACTCGTCGGTGCAGTGGAAGCAAAGACCGGTATCACCAGTCTCACAAGAAGCAGACTCAGTCCCATGCACATGAAAGCATGCAGCTGTTAGTCCAGCTTTTGGTCTGGTGGTCGTCCTCAATGCTGCGCGGGCTTTCAAAAGAAACCTGCCAGCTGAGTGGCTGGGTGCAACAACGCTCTGCGCTTGCACTGACAGTCTGCTTAGGGCCAAGTCTGTCTCACCGTTCTTCCCGAGCTTTCCGGCTCACCGCGACCGTGGAGCCGGGCACCCAGAGGTCCAGACGATGGCCTGTCTTATGTCGCCTCTGTCTCTGAGAGAAGTGTGAAACCCAAGGCGATGGAGTCGCGGGCTCGGAAGTGCGAGGCCGCGAGGCGAAAAAAGGGCGAGAAGCCCAACTTGGACCGTTTGTGGAGTTGGGTTCGTTCTCTTTGCTTTGGTTGTGTAGCTTCAATGATGAGAGGGATGTGCTGCCATCACATTGGTTTCAGCGGGAGCGTTGAGGCACCAAGCGTAGTCCCCAACGCCCGGGAGCTCCTTTCCCCGGCCACCTCGGTTTACGGGCAAATGCCTTTAATGTCCTTGCGATCTCACCAGCACGCTCAGCACAGCTCAGCAGCCTCTTGTGTTCCGGTGTTGCTGCCGTCGTGCCCGCCGCCGCATTGGCGACAGGCCGGCTGGCCTGGCTGCTACTCCGCTTTTGCCCCGTGATGTACCTTTTGCACACAACTCAGCGGCCGCTTTGCTTGCAACACCTGGCATTGTGGTGCGACACCTTGCCACGAAGCTGCCCCCTACTCGCGCACATGGACGCCTGCGCACAAGTCGGATAGGCCGACCAACTCATCTTGTTTTCTGTTTTTGACCCCTGAAGCGTTTTCGTGTAGCTTTCGGCTTCTTGATGCTTCTTGTGTGTTGGTTCCCGCACTTGCTCCACAAGTTTTCGCGGAACTGAGTTGCTCGTTGCTGCATGGCTCGGTGCCGTTCCCAGCGAGGCCGGCACAACTCTCGCGCTTGACCGCATGCTCGTATCCTAGCCTTGCGGCGGCAGTCGCGCTTGCTGTTGCCCGTCGCACAGGGCAGATGCGGGGCTCCCGTACCGGTCAGCTCGCCCGGCAAGCTAAGCGGCTCGAGCATTCGTGGATCAGGGTCGAGCGCGAGGCAACTGGGCCGGAGGGCCAGTCGTTCCGCAGCTTTGTAGCTTGCTGAGTGTCGCCTTAACCGGATTGCATCGTGGATAAAACAGCGCCCCGCTACGTCCGCAGATGTCCGCAGTGGACGTGCTCAGGCTTGCCGATGCGGCCGCCCCTGCCCTAGCCCCCGCGTGTAGGGTAGCTCCACGTGTTCCTATGAAACTGCTGGCATCTGCTGGCAGCTCGGAAACAGGTGTGCCGAGAAAAAAGAAATGGTGACCTCGCGAGCACAACCTTTGTCATGCAGGCGGAAAAGTCCGCGGAAAAAACAACCGGAGAGGAATGTATACATTACCGTGGGTCACGGTTAGAACTGTGAAACAAGGTGCACGACATAAGACTGTGTGTCACACATCGTGCAACTGTGGACGAAACTCATATCGCATCATAACGGGTCATTTCTCACGCGCATATGCAGCAGCTGTAGCATTGTGGACAATCTATCCTGTTGTGTTGACTCCGGCACGAGTGCTGAACAAACTTTTGCAGACACAATTGGGTTCATGCCAACTTGAAATCGGATGCGGCGAGCACGCTGCATTCGAGCAATGCAATGAGCTGCACATGCGTCGTCCCAAAGACGTGTGCCACGGCTTTGTACGCATGCACCAATTGAGCAACCAGGCCAGCGGACAGCGCCGGGGCAGCCTGCTCGAGTTCGTGGCTGTCGGCGACAGCTGCTGTTGCGGCCCTACGCTAGTCGCCCAACGGCATCGAGGCATGTCGCACTATAGCGGCAGCTTGAACAGGGACATGGCGTGCGCACGCTGGGCTGCCACATTGCCGGGCAACATCCACGTCCTGTGCGAGCAGCTTCCGAGCTTGTGGTTGAAGCTTTCTTTTCGGGGTCGGTCCGTTTTCCGGGCATGGTCCTCTCTCCCGACCTCAACTCCCCATCATTCGCCCGGTCACGGCAAGCGTGAAATTGATGAATAAAGAAGTTCTGTAAGACTTGACTTTTTTCATTGACATTGCTGATGCTCTTTAGAAGCTTTGGGCACAGTTCATCATCACGTGCCCCAGGGACTGTGTGTATTGTTGGGATTGTGGAATAAGGTTTTTGGAAGGCTATGGGTTCCGCAAGCCCTCAGTGAAGCCCATCGTTGAAGCGGAGGATACATTGTTGCCCCCAACACGCAAAGTTTCGTCGAATTTCTGAGACGAGGACATCATGGTAATGGAACGAAAAAGGAAAAGGTACGCTGAACCCAACTTCTAGCCTGAAGACGTGTGGTCACCTGGAATCCCAAGCGGGGTAGGTGTTTCCCAGAGAGACTCGGACCCAACGGAGGGGAATTGAGAGGATGCTGTGGCATAAAAACCTGGCGCAAGAAATCATCATTGGAGACCTGCGCGACATCAACTCGACGGCGTTGCAGATGAAGCATCCAGCCCTGACGTTGCTCGCCAAAAACAGGGCAAATCCGAAGCCCATGTATCAGACTCCAATGTGGGCTACCACACAAGCACGGCTGCTCCACACCACCTCAATTAGCGTGACACGCACTCCGCCGATCTGGGAAAGGATGGTGACCGCATTTGGCCGACGTCCACTCGCGAACAACATGCGGTGCAAGCCTGCCACCATGTACTTGCGGAGCGCAAACAAGATGCGGCTGAGAGGCCCTAGGGTTCTCTAGGGAAGGGGGGACAGCAGCAATTTTCAGGCGATTTTGTGCCAATGCTTCACGCTGCAAAAGAGGTTGGCCCACCCCGTCTGCACTGCAATCGGGCCGCCCGTGCTCCCGGCGTTTTCTGGCATTGTCCCCGCAATCAGCAGGCAGCAGTCCACCACGAGATTGTAATTGCAGCTCGGAGACCACGTGCTTTCATGTCCGCGGACAGGCCTTCTGGCTAGGCGGGCCAAACATGTTGAACGGGCTTGGTGCAAAGTTGCTCGCAAAGCTGTGGGGCCTGAGGTACACGTGCACTGACAGTGGCTCGTCAACACCACTGCACCAGGCATCGCCCCCGACGAGGACGGGCGCTTCGAACTGGTCAACATCGATAAGCTGAATATGAGAACTCAAAAAGTTGCTTCAAACTCTAGGAAACCATTTTTCTTGTCCGTGACATAGCCTTCCTTTCGGCGCTGTCTGCTAATAGCTTCCTATGCCGTGGCACCCAAGGCTCCACTCCGCGAGGCTCACTACAGTGCAGCAGTCTGCAACTGCTTGCATCTGTTTGCCATGCCGACGGCGTGAAGATAAAAACGGTGTGAGACACTACAAAGACAGTACAAAGACCACATCTGTCAAGCCAGGCCGGCAGCAGTTTTACGTTGGTTCGGCGCAGCTTGGGGCGCAACAAAGCTTCCTTTGATTCCACTGACTTAACGAAAAATTGCTAGCAGCCAAAGCTGTTGGGGCAAAACACTTGTAGTGGAGTTGCTGGCCACCCTGCAGCCGAAATGGGTGGAGAGTGTTCCAGTGGCAGCGGAAAACTTAGCAAGTGCCCAGGCCCACCCAGGTCCCCGTACTATTCCACTGCTGCCCGCAGCCGGGGCTGGGTGGGGCCGCAACGTTTGAGCTAAGCGGTATAGGGGTAAGCGCAAGCGGCGCGGCAACGCGAGCTGCATGGCCTGCGGGGAGGGGGTTAGTGCTGGTGCGCTTGGCCCTGCCAATAGCCATCAATAGCCATGCACCCGCGTGTGCACCGCCTTGACACGTCGCCGATGCAGAATTTGCAATGCCAGCATACCGCATCGTTCACATTATCTTCATGGCAGCCACAATTGTCGGGACTTGACACTTGAAGCATCTACTGACAAGGTGAATGGACTCAGTAGTCAAGGACGTTTTGAAGGAATAGTTGTGCCGCAAATCCGTATCGAAGGAACAATTGCCTGGGGTGCCTGGGTTCGCATCAATCATAGACGTAGTGCATGTGGCCGACGACCCCAGCTATTGTGCGGCATATTATTCCACGCTGCCAACCGCAGACTTA